TATATCAGAACAAATGATTCCAATTATATTTACATATATTTTAACTACATTCAAAAATTTACACTATTTAAAATTTGGCTCATCTTCGATTTCTTGTCCATGATTATCATTTTATATTACACGTCCATTTATTATCTCACTGAATTTATTAGAATTACATATTAATTTAGAATATTTTACTAATTGTCTTTAGCTATGTAATGAATGTTTTAATCAACTTCATACATTTTATGTTAATATTTTACGAATTCAATCTTCGAATCAAATAATTAATAATACAGTAAATTATTTTTTTTTTTGAATATCAAATTTTGTTTAAAAAAAAATTTTTCTTTTTTGTTTAGGAAAAATCATCTAAATTGAAATGTTTTCCACTTTCCTGTAATAATAATTATGATGAATTAATTTTACCATTTTTACATCGAATGTCGAGCTTAGAAAAAAACTTTATTTATATCTTATTATTTGTGGAAGCAAAAAAAATTTACTGATGGTAATGAAATCAAGATAAATATTCTTAATTATATGTTACAATTGAATACATTTATATTTAATATTCAATCATTTATTTATTTGAATTCTTAAATGAATTTATTATCAAATAAAGATATTCAAAAGACATTTAAAAAATTTTAAATCTAATAAAATTATTTCTTGTGTGTTAATTATTTTTCAAAAGGAAAAAATAGGTCAATGTCATATTTATACATATCCATATCAATTAGAATATTATGATATTATAAGAAATAATTTTTTAGATGGAATATTTAAATGTGTTCGTAAAATATTATTATTTGATGAATATCCATTTGAACATGAATTTATTCTTCAAATTTCAAAATCATTTCCATTTTTAGAAAAATTAACTATAGTCAATCGAAAACGATAAAATAATAAAATATCTAAACAAAATTTATCAATTATTCAATATCCTCATCCTAATAAACTTGATCTTACTGCAATTCATATTGATTATGTTAAATAATATTTATTTGATACTAAACCATGTTTACCAAATAATGTTTTTCTTTTAATTGATTATCAATTAATGAAAAAAGCAATATGAAATTTTAGAAGAAATACAACAGGAAATAATTGTGCTAAATTTAATTGTATTTTATTTTATAGAAAATTAATATTTCCTGAACATTTAAAAGATTATTTTCCTCATATAAATATATTAGAATTTATTCTTTAAAATAAAACTAATTAAAAGTAGATTGTTATTTTTTTCGAAGGACATAAATTGTTACAAATGAAAATGTGTTTATCTTCAGAAAAAAAGAGATCACATTCATTGAATAGAAATGATGTAGATAAAATCAATATATTTTTAAATAAATTCTCATTT